ACAATAACCATAAAGAAATATCTTAGAATACCTATATGTTGTATGTCGTGCGTTATTTATAATTCAGAAGTTGTTTTACGAGATGGAAGCACAAAATTTGGGCAAAACAAACAACATTATGAAAATTACCCCACTTTTATTAAATTTGAATTCAAAGAAGTACATACTTAATACAGTTTTTATCTAGTCACTTCTTTTACAGTAAGTTTCAATGGATTGCTTACTCCGTACAATAATTGTGAAGCAAACTCCATATCGGGATGCTCCCAGGACAGCTCGAAATTCCTCATAATCTAGAAAACAATATGAAAAATCAATATAATTTGTTGTGGCCAAACAATGTTGACGTTGAAAGAGTTCTATTAAATTAATAGAAACCTGGAAAAATACAGTTTATCTGAAATAGGAAGTGGCTAACTTTCCGGCCGACGAAACAGAAATATCGTAAAAACATCCATTCACAATAAACTTGTCAGTAATTACCTTAATGAGAACCAACTCCAGCTCCAAATTGGCAAATCTCATGCCGATACACTTTCTAGGTCCGTATCCGAATGGAAGACTCGCGAATGGATTCACCTTTTTGAAAGAATAATCGTCATCTGTTTCCCGGAGCCAACGTTCTGGCATGAACTTTTCTGGGTCCTTGAAGTGTTCCGAAGAATTCGACGTGCAAATCGATACCAGCGTTACGTTGGTCTGAAAAATGAAATGAGAATCAGTGAATCTTCATTTCGAATGAAATAGAGTGCGATTCACTTCCTGAACTGCCCTCTTGGATCGGGACGACGTGCTTATATCGGTAACGGTCCTTACTAGAATTCTGTAGTCGGTTCGGTACTAGAATTTCACCGGCGATTCCCGACTGCATTCTTTCGCGGTGATGTCATGTGTTTGTTCCATGATTCGGCCGGCGTACTGGTCAGGGACGGTTTCAGATTCGTTACAATATTATTCTATGAGCAAGAAACGTGGCAATTCCTGAAAAATCACGAATATTTTCAAAAAAGAACGCGACCGAGAAGGCGACCTGAACGCGCCTGCCCGCGTTTGGGTCGCGTTCTCANATCAAGATGGAGTAGTAGAAAGCCAAAAACTTTCTTTCCCAAAAATCAAACTGATATTTTTTGTACTCGACGGGTGTTTCGCTAACAAGGTTAGCATCTTCATCTATCAATTGATACTGTAATAATTTTCTTCTCCTGAAGATGCTAACCTTGTTAGCGAAACGCGCGCCGAGTGCAAAAAATATCAGTTTGGTGTTAGGGTAATTGATCTCTAGGAAAAGGTTCAATGGTTGCGTTCAAGTTTCCCGCTTATTTGTTTAGTTCCGATTCTAAGTTATAGAGGGAGCTGAAAATCGTGCCAACTGACAGCATTGTCGTCAACTACGCATGCTTATAATTTGACAAATTATTGCTGCGACCTCTACAGGTGGGAACAACGAACTTCAAAAGCATCTTCGACCAATACCATTGCCGTGAAGCGTCTATAGAGTGAGTGGTTTGTGGGTATTTGGCCGATAAACGCACTCCAGTGCGAACACGCGCCGTAATCACCAGATTTGGCACCGTGCGACTTTTTTTGTTTCCGAAGATAACATTTGCTTTGAAAGGGACCCGATTTGAGTCGATGGAAGCGGCAGAGCAAAATACGGCAGAGCTCCTAAAGACCCTCACCAAAGAAGACTTCCAGCACTGTTTTGATCAATGGAAAAAACGTATGGAAAGGTGTGTGGCGAGAGAAGGGGAGTATATTGAAAGGGAGCATTCGAATGTAGAACGATTTTTATAATGAAACCCTTTGTCGTAACCAGTCTCGATATTCAATAGCCGGATATCATATGCTCATGTGTGATTGGCCTAGAGGTAATGAGTTATGAATCTGGTGAACTCTGATTGGTTCGATATAAAAACACTTTTCGCTAGTTGTTATTTTTCTGTTGAAACTTACCCCTTTAGGAATCTGGTAACCTCCTAGAACAAGATCTTTCACCGTAGTCCTGAAAGATCCAATAATAACAGGGGCAATCCTGTTGGACTCCTTTATTACGGCCTTCAAGTATGGTAACTTTTCCAATCTCTCTGCTGTAATATCGGAGTCTTTCTCAGGAACTACTTTAAAAATCTCCTCCCGCAGCTTGGCTTGCTTCTCCGGATTCTTTGCTAGGAAGTAGAGTATCGCCCCCAAGATTTTGCCGGTCTGAAAATGAGTTTGTTATCAAATTTTCTTTCGCGTCAGTTATTACAATTCTGTAACTTTCGCTAACCGTGTCCACTCCAGAAATCAGCATGTCTATCACCATGGTGAAGGCCACTTTTTTGTCTCGTTTCCCAAGTTTGTGAAGGATACTAAGCTCGTGTTCGGGCACTGACTCGTCGATGGGTTCGGCCAAGGCCTCGTCGATGCTCTTTATAATAACGCTAGAAATTAATAGTTATTTATGTATCAAGGGCGTAAAATAGGCTTTTATGGACAGCAGCGTGTAAGTAATACCTCTTTATATCTATAACACGATAGAAATACATTTGTTGTCAATTTTTGCGACAAAAAAAGTGTGAATTGTACTCCACCAGAAATAAGCGGAGCAGCTGAGGTGGTGCAACGGGAATAATGTAAAAGATAAGAACTATATAGAGAGTTCAGTTCTTGCCTATTTTCTGGACCTCGAATTCATGTGAATTTTTTTTAACTTTTACGCTCAATTTCATACATAATCATATTCATTCCCAAATAATATCCAATGGAGACCGCATNCATACTAGTTTCTTTGAAACTAGTATGGAAAGTAAATAAATCATATTTTTCGAAATTCAGTCAATTGGTGCTGGCAGGTACTCATTTATTACCTATTTACAAAATCCAAATTTTCGACGAATTTCTTGTACAACGGCGTGCTGATGAATTTCCAAAGCGGTGGCGCTATTTCGAAGAGATAAAAGTGGAGAAACAAATTCAAAATTGCAGTGACTAGTTTCTTCGAATCAGAATCTTGCGGGGCCGTCAAATCCAGACAACCTGTAAAGGAACGAGTCGCTCAAAACAAAGCCCACACCCCAAGGCTCCATTCTGGGCCCGATATGTTTTTTCGCTTACCGAAATGTTTATTGAGAGCCATGATACCGACCGATTCCAGAGCCCACTTGTACAACTCGTTCACGAAATCGTCCGGCATCTGATGGTTTTCGTTGAGCCTCGAGAAATGCCTCATATTCTCTACTAGCTCCCCTGCTACTCCATCAAGCTTTGTCACGTACGGAATGATGGCTTTTGGCTGCATGAGAATAGGATTGACAACTGATCTGATTTTGAACCAATCTTCGCCTTGTCTAGATGGGATTGAAACAGTGAGATTTACTTTATCAGTTCACAATTATCTGCACTCACAGACATGTGAATCAAAATAAGGTTCATGCACGATATTGGTTTGAAAATATTTGAAATAGTAGTGTATTGGAAGCAGAACGGACCCAAACTCTCACAGAACAGTCAGTTGAAAAAAAATCATCAACATTTTGTATATCGACAAACATTTGAGCTGATCTGGAAGATATTGTACTGTTTGTTTTTGGAATGACTTACACCGTTAAAACTCCTCCGACGTCTTGAAATATCTCTTTTCTCAGAACTGTTCGATAATACACAAAAATATCTAAAACTGTTCTCACTGGATAGGGCCCTGAATTCCTTAGAAGCTGCAATGATAATTAATCACTATCAATATGTCGTAATATGTCACATACTAGTATTTGTTTTTCCGCTCACATCTGTAATCATGTCTGAACTTACACACAATCTCTAGTTTGTCTGAGATAATTCATCATTTATTATACTTAGCAGCGTTTATGTACACTCCCATGGATTCCTTTACATTCTCTGTTCTCAATTTGTCGAAAATTTGAATGGAATTTCCCAAACGGTATTTCTCTCTTCTTCAATATCAAAAGAAAACTGTCAGCACAAACAAATTATTGTAGCAAATGGGCTAAGTGCGACCCTGTTCATTTACCACAGTACTGATCTGATTTGGGTATATAAATTGAGCTGAATATGCTCTGATAATCGCTTCAATGTGTTGATTGGGAAGGTGAAAGTGATCTAGAGGGGCCATGGGAGTATTGACAAATTTAAAATTCAACAAAGACTACAGATTGGTAGGAAAAATAGAGTAACAACCAGATATTATCTGATTAACCTACGTTTTCAATGTCCTTGATGTTATAAATATATACAGAGTCTGGCTTCCCAAGAATATTTTTCCAAACCACCACATCCCCATATTGTTCCCTGGATCTGAAAATCGAATGGAAAATCAATATAATTTGCCTTATCATCTAATATAGAAAACATTGACAAAAATTGACATACGATTTCTGAGTAATTCAGATATTTTTCAGGTGAATAACATTATTAATGTAGTGATGCTGAGTTTCATAACAATACTATTTTTATCACTCTGTATACTTATAGAAATTGGAAATATTAAGTTACACAGGGAATTTATTGACAAGTTTGGTTTCGAGGAAAACAAACTATTACAAGCAAAATCAGATTTGGCCGAAATTTCTTTCTCAACTGTACGTAAAACAGCCAAAAACAAACCTTATGAACGCAAGACGCGATGTGACACGGGATTACCAAAACATTTAAATGTTCATCTAATCAAATCATAAAAAAAACAATATACGACTGTTACAAAAGCAATGAGATTCCTACAATTGAAAGCATATGGAAGAAATTGAATACTTTCAGCCATAACGTGAGCTGCTGTGACAAAACTCTTCAGAATTAGATAAAGAAACTAGGATTAATTTTCCAAAATTTGATAAGAAGGTAATAGAGCTAATCAAAGAATAATTATCTAATAGTACTGAAGAAGACTGGCAGAAAGGGATTAAAAAAGTAATTTTAGTTGAAAAAGACTATATGGAGATTAAACACTTCCATATTAGTGGTGGAAATAAAATCAGTATTATTTTAAATGACGACAGTGATAGTGAAACAGAGAATATGGAAGAGGAATTATCAGAAGCTCCACAAACTAAGTTTGTGGAGATCAAATCGTGGAGGGTGGTTTATAAAATTACTATGGATCGTCATCAAGTAGCGGCCGAATCAATCAGTCAATTAATTGGACAATTATGTAAGAGTTATATCTATAATAGCAAAAAGTAACAAAGTTTCCATAAACAATATGTGTTTATGAGAAGATCGTAGATATGACATAAAAATAAAAATATTATTGTTACCCTATCATCCAATCGAATGTAAACGTTGTTTTTGGATTTTGCTTCCTTTCAAGACAGTGGCGGCTCCTCAGAGGAGGCAAGGGAGACTTAGCCTCCCCATAAAATTTGAGGCTATTTATCGCAATAAATTAAAAGATATTGACAAATAATTATGATTATTATTTTCTAAAAATGCTTGGGTATCATTACTTTACTTTACTGAGCTTATTATAGACAGTGTGGCATATATTATTAAGGAAAATATAAGCAAGGAGATTAAAAGTGTTTCTTTTTTTGCATGGGAAATTGATGAAACTACCGATATTACCTGTAAATCACAACTTTCAATCGTTTTTAGATATGTCAAAGATGGTAATGTGGTAGAACGTTTTATGGGTTTTCATGATGTTTCATCTGGGCGCACAGCTGACGATTTGTTTAGCACTTTTTACGCATTGTCATGCCCAGGCCCTAACTTTAGTATTGAGCAAAGCGTGCAACAACATAAAAATGTTCGCGCCTCCAGCGGGCTTTTCTGTGTGTATATGACTTAAGCCTCCCCTGTTCTCCAATGCACGAGCCGTCACTGTTTCAAGATTATATGAATCTTTATCGCTGAATACGGTTCGATCACACTAATTTATCGGAATCTCATGTAGCAAATAACATCTTGAATCAATTTGTTTTTTAATAAATCAAAACTGTTTGTCAGAGGAAAAGTTCAGTTCGTTGGAATATAATTCAATTTTGTACTGTAATTTTTTTTCAATTTTTTTGCTTAATTGGATTTCGAGTCAGACCTATAATTATTCATATCCATTTTGTTGCCATGTCTGGATTCAAAAAGGTCTATTTTAAATGAAAGTCACTTGGACAACACTCTTACAAATATCAGTGCAAAAATTTTCAACTACTCACACCTGATATGTATAATACATACATTTATAAAATAAATAATATTAACCTGATGAAAACCATCTTCAAAAAGTATGTTTTTGATACCAATAGAGACATTGTTCGTGATATACTCCCAAATAAATAATCCCCCTTAGTACTTGAAAATAGAATATATCTGTTATCATTGTTCGTCCATATTAATTTACTGTATTTTCATATAGATATGTAACATATATTTCATTTTAAAAATCAATCATTCATTTTTTGTCCTTTAGTCTTAGCTTACTTCCAATTCTGAAAGAAAGTAAAAGAATTCCTTGTACGTGATTGGCACGTAGTTTTATATAAGCAAGTTATTGAAATCAACACGAATTGGCTATCAATGTTCATTACATAGAATTATATATTTACATTCACTCAATATTCATGTAATTATATTTGTATCTGTTCATATCGTTCTGTCCATATCCCTACTCTGCTCTTGTTTCCAAGCATTATTTTACAGCTTGTATCTGTTCATTTAATGTGCCATTCCAGCATACACACTTGTTACATTTACGTAAATATGACATAAATTTAATGGAACATGTTTATGTAATACATTTATGTAAATACTTCGTTACATTTCTAAGATTTTTTACCCCATATTTACATAAATAATTTATGTGAATATGTCGAAGCTAATACGTAAAAACTTACGTCAATATGGTTAATGTGAAGGATGCCTTTTCCAGTTAATGATTCCAAGTTTTTCTGCGAGCGAGTGTTGCCAATAAGATGGTCAAATCTTGGGTAATAAAGCATATTTACAATTGATTTGATTTGATTCGTAGTGTACTACTGAAGTACTAGTCAAATCCTGTCATTTGATCCCCATATTGAGGTAGTTGTGAAAAATTATGTAATCCGCCATTTTGTAGCTGCAGCCATCTTGGCTTCACAATGATACAGACTTCATCAAATTGTATTGTCATCAAAACTAAATTTGTGTACCAAATATCAGATCAAATTTTAATTGAAAATTCCAGGAACTTCCTGAGTATGTGAGTATGAATAATTATTTGAGTTTATTCCCGAAACAAAACGTTTTGTTTCGGTAATATTGAAAGAAAAATCTACAAAAAGTGAAAAATTTGGTATAAATACAGAGATAATACTGAGCCTCGAAGATTACAATTTATACAGGTAATTCTCTACAACTCTCCATAGAAACAATAAACCTACTTACGAAAAAAACCTTGTGTATAGCCCCCATTCTCATGAGGTATCCAAAATTTACTTTCAAAAGTAAATAATTTTCGACTCACTGATTCAACATCTTTAAAATGGGAGACTTGGGTAGTTCTCCAACAACTGGCAGCAACCTCCGCAAATTTTCCACAATAGGCAGCGGCTTGGGGCCGGGAATTTTTTCATATGGAAGCGCAGAATCCCAACCTGGTGGTTTGGACTCGTTCGTATCCTCGGCCAACGTTTTATAATAGTCGTCCCTCTTCGATACAGCGGCCGGCCCTGCGCCCGGCTTCGAAGAAACTTTCCTTGTCCTCAGCAAGAAGGATCGCGAAGCGTACTTCGTGAACATGGCAGTAAAAGTGAGACAAAGGAACTGGCTATTCGATTTTTGTGGTGATTGGAGTAAAATGCTGACTGCGCGACATGTGGCTTATGAGATATGATAATTTTATTCAATCCGTCGACTAATGCGATCTTGAAAATTGGTAATAGGTCAGAAATACGTTGTAGCAATAACAAATTAGAAATGATAACATATTTCTAAGCTTCTCTTTAGATCACGGAAGAGAAGAGAATAAATATTGAATTATATGATGACTGGTGCTTTCTAGTTCGTAGATTTGGAAAAATATCACCAGATTTCAGAAATTCTGCTTATTGAACAAAAAATGAATGGGTAATTGAGACCAAAACTAAATACAAAGTTTAAAACAGAAAATATATTGAAATGAATATTCATCCTTACGCAATAAATAAAAAAAAATGAACAGGACTCTCTTATAAATAAATAATTGAGCAAAAACAAACAAAAAATTAATGGCCAAGATAATAAATGAAAAAAAAAATAAACAGAACTCTCTTGTAAATGAATATTTGAACAAAAACAAAGAGAAAATTAGTGACCAAGTATATTTTGATCATCAACTACCTACTACTATTATTTTGATTCATACATTTTATGATCACATTTCCTTAGAAATGTCATCATAAAATGTATGTATGTTCAAAGTTGTAACAGTATTTCTCATTGTTCAATATAACTCTTTTAGAGTGAAGAATTGCACTGAGGGTATCAGAATTCAGTCGATTTCTGATTTTTGTTTTATTCACAATATTCATATTCACATTACCACACTGCTGTGTGGTAATGTGAATATGAAAGCAATTAATTCCATTAAATTGGGATACGCTTGTGACCCATCACCATTACTCACTTTATTTACATCCTGCCAAAATTTCAGCATATCGACTGCTTTACATTTTGATAAATTATCAGTGTATCTTAATATAATCTCCTTTCACGATCTAATGCATTTATATCAACAATAAACCTTTTCAAAATATTTGACGTGATTGGTGGTCCAAGTATAATAATTTTAGCTATACTGGATTAAAAGGAAAACGTTTCATGATTTGGCTAATTAATTCCAAATAAAACTCCAGACATCCAGCAAAAGATGCTAAAATGGCAACAGCGCAATGCAATGTTACGTCGTTAACAGGTAATAACACTTCGGCCAATAGCAACGCATCAACTGTTAACTGTCATCAACTGTCAACTGTCATCAACTGTCAACTACAAACTGCCTTATAAAGTACTATACCTGAGTAGAGATCTGATGAAACAGCAGAGCCGCTGAGGACCGAATCAGGTTTTCAGAGCTCATCACAGCCGAAGCTGGGTTTATTTGGTCGATTGTGAATAGATGTGAGCCACAATAAACCCTTGCGGGTTGCGGTGGAGGGTCGAATAGATCCACTCACTTTGGACCTAACCTAACCTCAACTAGGTGCTGTCATCGTTTTATCGGGTAAGAGAAGTTTTTCGATGTGTTTATTTGGTTTTTCGGAAATCTACTGTCGGTTCTACATCTATAAAATTCGGATGAAACAAACCAAATATCAGTGTATCTCAATAATCTCCTTTCACGATCTAATGCATTTATATCAACAATAAACCTTTTCAAAATATTTGACGTGATTGGTGGTCCAAGTGTAATAATTTTAGCTATACTTGGAGGATGCAAAAAATCAATGCACTTCAATGCTTGCGCAAAATCTGGATTAAAAGGAAAACGTTTCATGACTTGGCTAATTAATTCCAAATAAAACTACAGACATCCAGCAAAGATGCTAAAATGGCAACAGCGCAATGCAATGTTACGTCGCTAACAGGTAATAATACTTCGGCCAATAGCAACGCATCAACTGTCAACTGTCATCAACTGTCAACTACAAACTGCCTTATAAAGAACTATACCTGAGTAGAGAGCACTAGATCTGATGAAACAGCAGATCCGCTGAGGACCGAATCAGGTTTTCAGAGTTCGTCACAGCCGAAGCTGGGTTTATTTGGTCGATTGTGAATAAGTGTGAGCCACAATAAACCCTTGCGGGTTACGGTGGAGGGTCGAATAGATCCACTCGCTTTGGACCTAACCTTACCTCACCTGGGTGCTATCATCGTTTTATCGGTGTGTTTATTTGGTTTTACGGAAATCTACTGTCGGTTCTACATCTATAAAATTTGGATGAAACAAACCAAATTATGAAAATTACCCTAATTTTATTAAATCCAAATTCTAAGTAGTAGGTACATAATACATTTTTCATCTAGTCACTTCTTTCACAGTGATTTTCAATGGATTGCTTATTCCGTACAACAAATGTGAAGCAAACTCCATATCGGAATGTTCCCAGGACAACTCGAAATTCCTTATAATCTAAAAAAAATGGAAAAGGATTATACATTTGTTGTTGTCAAACGATGTTGTCGTTAAAAGAGTCCAAGTTCAAGGACCTTGAGAGAATTACCGTTCATTCTGAACAGGAAGTGGCTAAGCTTCCGGTTGACGGGACAGAAATATCGTAAAAACATTCATTAACAATAAACTTCTCAGTAATTACCTTCATGAGAACCAACTCTAGCTCAAAATTGGCAAATCTCATGCCGACACACTTTCTGGGCCCGAATCCAAATGGCAGACTTGCGAATGGATTCACATTTTTGGAGTAATCGTCATCTATTTCTCGCAGCCAACGTTCTGGTACGAACTTTTCCGGGTCTTTGAAGTGTTCCGAAGAATTCGACGTGCAAATCGATACCACCGTTATATTAGTCTGAAAAATGAAATGAGAATCTGTAAATATTCAATTTCGAATGAAATAGAATTTGTTCATTTCGAGCGATGTGGCGATTACTCAAAATTAACCTCAAACTCAAACAGAAGTGAGTAATTTTAGCGAGGAATATTTTCAAAAATATTCATTTGTGAAGAATTTTGAATGAATTGAATTACAAATTTCATTCGGCAGTTATAGATAATAGTACCAGTTTCGGTTGAGTAAAATACAAAATCATATTTAGGAGTTTATTCTATAGTTTTCCTATGTTATACATTTAGTGAAGTTGGTATTGAAATTTATTTTACGAGTTGAAATACCTAAACTGTATCAATGGATATTATAAAGCCTCAAATGAAATGAAAATTATTATTATTTTTCATTGAAAACTGATCAAAAGTCTAAACTGAAACGTCATTTCTTCTAAAAAAAAACTGTTGATTCACTGGAATGGATGAAATAAAGTTATGTATTTGCTCATCTGTTATTGGCTTAGAGGTAGTAAGCAGAGCCGTAGCGAGAAAAAAACCAGGGGGGAGGGAATCCAAATTTTCCCAACTTCACCAGCAAAATTTTCCAACTTTCGAAAAAATGAAAGCCGAGGGATTAGTTACTACTGTGATATATTAATTTTCTCACTTAGCTATCCAAAGATTGGTTGAATGCTTATGCCCGTTAAGGTATGCACAAACCAAAAAATTTTTTTGGTAATTATGAAAATAATAAGGGAATTCTTCTACTTTGGACCAAGGTCCTTGGTCTTCCACCATGTATAGGAATATTCAATACGAATGAAAGGAAACAACACTTAAATAATATTGTGCTTATTGTTTTCTACTATTATTTTTTCTATCTTCAAGGCCCAAAATTTCCCAACTTTTCCAAGTCGAAAAAACAGCGAAAAGTTGAGAATTTTTCTTCTGGTTCTTTCCCTGTTCTCATTACCTCTCCCTTTATTTTCTCTCATTTTCATTTTTTTTAAATTTTCATTCATCTTCACGCCCCAAAATTTCCCAACTTTTTCCCAAGTTGAAAAAGCAGGGGGGCTCCTCCCCCCATCCCCCAATGGCGACGGCCCTGGTGGTAAGTTACGAATCTGGTCAATTCTGATTGGTTCGATATATAAAAAACTTTTCTCTACTTGTTATTTTTCTGCTGAAACTCACCCCTTTTGGAATCTGATAACCTCCTAGAACAAGATCTTTCACCGTAGTCCTGAAAGATCCAATAGTAACCGGAGCAATCCTGGTGGACTCCTTTATTACAGCTCTCAAGTATGATAACTTTTCCAATCTCTCTGCTGTAATATTGGAGTCTTTCTCAGGAATTACTTTAAAAATCTCCTCCCGCAGCTTGGCTTGCTTCTCCGGATTCTTTGCTAAGAAGTAGAGTATTGCCCCTAAGGTTTTGCCGGTCTGGAAATAAATTTGTTAGCAAATATCCTTTCGCGTCAGTTATTCGATTTCTGTAGTTTTTGCTAACCGTATCCACTCCGAATATCAGCATGTCCATCACCATGGTGAAGGCCACTTTTTTGTCTCGTTTCCCAAGTCTGTGAAGGATACTTAGCTCGTGTTCGGGCACCGACTCGTCGATGGGTTCAGCCAAAGCTTCGTCGATGCTCTTTATAATGACGCTAGAAAAAAGTATTTGTTATCACATTTCAGTCATAAATAACCATGAAAAAGAGTATCGTATTATTGTTCAAATGTAATATAACTGCATGAAAATCCACAACAACGTATTGATGAGAAGAAACACTTGGTGATTCTGAGCAGTTTAATTTATTTATTCATTCATTTATTTATTTGTAATACAATACTCTACAGGACATAGCCCAATTACAGAGCAAGAAATAATAGAGTATAATAAATACATCACAAACAAGTGACTGTTAAGTCTACAAACACTTTAAACAATACAAACAAGTGACTATAAAGACTACACATTTCATATTTATCATAGATGACAAAACAATTATAATTTCCTTCCTTATAATTTCAGTTGTAGGAATCTCATTGGTTTTTTAACAGCCGTATATTGTTTTTTTAATGATTTTATTAGATGAACAACTAAAGGTTTTGGTAATCCCGTATCACATCGCGTCTTGCGTTCATAAGGTTTGTTTTTGGCTATTTTACCTACAGTTGAGAAAGGAATTTCAGCCAAATCTGATTTTGCTTGTAACAGTTTGTTTCCCTCGAAACCAAACTTGAGATGTAGATTCTTATATACATTGAAACATACTCTCTGTGCTTCAATATTCAAATGCATCTGAAGCTTATTCACTGGTATCTCTTTTTCGCATTGTTCACCATCGCTATTGGAATCATTACACAGGAAAAAGTTTGCGTTGTTATCACACTCGTTTTACTATTAGTATTTGTCCAAACACGCCACATTTTAAACATATAACAAAAATTTTAGGTAATTATAACTGCACCAATATCGAATTTCAACACTCAAATCGTAATCAGTTCCTGAACTAATCACGACGGCGATAATCATCCCCGCATTCCCGATTTTTATTCGTGACCGTACATGACTTCAAATTTAATTTTATGACTCTTATCCAATACGAACCGCCAAGTGTACAGTCCACGTGGACTAGTTCGCTGCTAGCTCATTTCTATTTATTGTNTCTGAAATAATCTTTTGAAGAAAATTTTGTCTTTTCAGAATATGTGTTGTGTATTTTTGAAACAAGCATTGAAAAGAAATCATATTTTTCGAAATTAAAGTGAATACCTGTTCACGAAATCCAAATTTTTGACGAATTTCTTGTACAACGGCGTACTGAATAACTTCCAGAGCGGTGGCGCTATTTCGATGAGAAACAAGTGGTCAAACATATCTAAAATGGCACTGACTAGTTTCTTCGGATCGGAATCTTCCGGTGTCGTCAAATCCAGACAACCTGTAAAAGAACGAGTCGCTCATAACAAACCCAACACAGAAAGTACCCCAAGGCTCCATTCTGGAGCCAATATGTCTGTTCGCTTACCGAAATGCTTATTGAGAGCCATGATACCGACTGATTCCAGAGCCCACTTGTACAGCTCGTTCTCGAAATCGTCCGGCATCTGATGGTTTTCGTTGAGCCTCGAGAAATGCCTCATATTCTCTACTAGCTCCCCTGCTACTCCATCAAGCCTTGTCATGTACGGATGGATGGCTTTTGGCTGCATGAGAATAGGATTGACAACTGATCTGCTTCTGAACCAATCTTCGCCTTGTCTAGATGGGAGTGAAACAGTGAGATCTGCGATATTATTTCGCTCGAACAAGTAAATTTAAAAAAGGTTGATTAACGGTAGCAGTTCAAAAATATTTGAAATAGTAGTGTGTTGAAAGCAGAACTGGCCCAAACTCTTCCAGAACAACCAGCGGGGAAAAATTATCAACATTTTGTATTTCAACAAATTCTTGAGCTGATCTGGAAGATGTTGTACTGTTTGCTCTTGAAATAACTTACACCGTTAAAATTCCTCCGAAATCTTGAAATATGTCTTTTCTAACAACTGTTCGGTAATACACAAAAATGTCTATAACTTTCCTCACTGGATAGCTCCCTGAATTTCTGAGAACCTGCAATGATGATTAGTCACTATTCAACTGTCGTAAAATATTAACTAATAGCATTTGGTTTTCCACTCACATCTGCAATCATGTTTGAACGTATACTTGTGAGTATTCCCTACTTTATCTGAGAGAATCCATCATTTATTGTACTTAGCAACGTTCATGTACACTCCCATGGATTCCTTTACATTTTGTGTCGAAAATTTCTGATTGAATATTCCTTTAGAAGTAAACTACCAGCACGAACAAATTGATGTAGCAAATGGGCTGAGTGCGACCCTGCTTTTTACCACAGTGCTTTGCTTCTGATAATCACTTCAGTGTGATAATTGAGATGGTGAAATTGATCTAGTGGAGCCATAGGAGTATAAACAAATATAAAATTCAACAATGACTACAGATTGGCAGGAAAAAATAGAGTTACAACCAGATATTAACTTGATAAACCTACGTTTTCGATGTCCTTGACGTTATAAATATATACAGAGTCCGGCTTTCCAAGAATATCTTTCGAAACCACCACATCCCCATATTGTTCCCTGGATCTGAAAATCGAATGAAAAATCCTTAGACAAGAGATTGTCTAAGGGAAAATCAATGTCATTTGCCTTATCATTTAGTATAGGCAACATTGACAAAAATTGACATGCGATTTCTGAGTAATTCAGATATTTTTCAGTATTATAAAAATGTTATTGTTATTTGTCGTGTAGCAAACAACATCAGGAATCAACTTGTTTTTCATAAAACTAAACTGGTTTCCAGACGAAAAGTTCAGTTTGTTGCAATATATTTTCATTCTGTACTTGAAAGTTTTTCCAAAACGAAATATCAAATTTGACCTAGAATTAATCATATCCATTTTGTTGTCATGTTTAGATACATAATTTTGAGATTCACAGTGATTTTCAATGGATTGCTTATTCCGTACAACAAATGTGAAGCAAACTCCATATCGGAATGTTCCCAGGACAACTCGAAATTCCTTATAATCTAAAAAAAATGGAAAAGGATTATACATTTGTTGTTGTCAAACGATGTTGTCGTTAAAAGAGTCCAAGTTCAAGGACCTTGAGAGAATTACCGTTCATTCTGAACAGGAAGTGGNTTTGTTCAACCCATAGAAATCTACAGGGTGGTCGAGTGTACCAATTCAATCGAAATTAAACGACCTCATGCATTTATTTTTATGATATTTAGTATGTTATAAAAATATCCCTAGACTTTTCCGATGTGTGTAATAAACCTACTTACGAAAAAAAAATCAAATCTTGTATAAAGCCCTCATTTTCATTAGGTATCTTAAATTTGCTTTCAGAAGTGAATCATTTGGGATTGTTGCATTACTTAATAGTATTTCCGACTCACTGGTTCAACATCTTCAAGATGGGAGATTTGTGTAGTTCTCCAACAACTGGCAGCAACCTCCGCAAATTCTCCACAATAGGCAGCGGCTTGGGGCCGGGAATTTTTTCATATGGAAGCGCAGAATCCCAACCTGGTGGTTTGGACTCGTTCGTATCCTCGGCCAACGTTTTGTAATAGTCGTCCCTCTTCGATACAGCGGCTGGCCCAGGACATGGTTTCGAGGAAAACTTCCTTGTCCTCAGCAAGAAGGATCGCGAAGCGTACTTCGTGAACATGGCAGTGAAAGTGAGCCTAAAAGACTAGAGAATGAATTTTTGTAGTGATTGGAATACAATGCAAACTGCGCGATAAGTGGCTTATGATATATGATAATTTTATTCGGTCTGTCGAAAATGTGACATCTAGGTCAAAAAAACGCCGTCACAATAACAAATTAATAATGAGAACAAACTTTTAGGCTTTTATTTATAGCACAGAAAAGAAGAAAATAAATCTTGAATTGTATGATGGTAAAGCTTGTGGGGGGATTCACCTATTTCATAAAATATTTGATTTCTCTTTGAATTATCTATGTCAAAACCAAGCTGAATCTATCGTCAAACTCTTCAAAATAGGCCAACATGATCTCAGTCATTTTAATAATAATATCGTTTATTATGCATAAAGATACATTTATACATAAAATGAAAAGGGTTAGCCAAAGGCTATCTTCCACCTTTCCCAAAAATTATACAGTAAGTATAAGAAAATAATTATAAACATACTTATTCAGTATCATAACAATGATAGAGAAGAGAAAAAATAATACATCATATAGTCGCTAATAATTCTCAATATTCCTAACATTATTTTGTTCAATTTAACAATTTCATTGCACTACCGTACATTGAATTTTAAATCTTTTAAATTAGCACTGAGCAGTTAGCATCTGTGATGCTCACAACACAACAAAAAAATATTTTTTGAATGTTTCCTACACTAAATTAGTCAATTTCTACTAATTTTGGGGTGATAAAAACGAAAATAACAATGAAAAATTTTTATTAGCTCTGGTTTTTGAGATACACAGTACTTAATCTTAAAGAGTAGTTATACTATACGTGAAAAGTGAAAGTACATAAAACAATATTGTTATGTTTCTTTTAGAATATTTTAAGTACAAAATTAATAAAAAAAANGTTATTTCACCACATATATAGCAAAAGCTATCGACAGAATTCACACACTTTCGAGGCATTTCAGATCAGCACTTAAATTAATTTAAAAATCAACTTCACACGATAATTTCAATAGCAACCACGTGCGTACAATTGACAAACTCACATAGGTTATGTTTACTACTTAAGAACAGCTGATGAGAGGGGTGTTATGTAAACAAACATGTGTACCAACTGTTGGTGATGAAATATTTCATTTGTTGAAAACTCAATATACATATATATAATATAATGATACTATATCTTGAAAACAAGAGCTAATATATAATTTTTATGGTCACTTTCGGTTTTAACACGTGGAAATACATTAAAATCATCTAATTTCAACCCCGAAACAAAAACTTTGTTGTGTTGTGAATTATTATGATTTCATTATGCTATTTATTATGCTAATTATTATGAATATTATGATTTTAATGGGGTGAAATTTCATTCAGATAAGAAGGGGCTATATGAGAAAAACATCCTTGAAATTTGGAAGTACGGTGTCTAGGTATGTTGAATGAGTTAATTCTCAAAGTGACCATATGTATGTCAGGATGCCTGCTTAATAGACTATATAAATAACTAGGTGTTTTAGTTTGAAGCAAGTTAAACAAAAACATTTTTATCAAATATTGGACTCTGTACCTCATATTCAGCTCCTTCATTTTTAACAAAAATGGGGCGACATGGCGTAACCATGTTGGTTACGCCAAGATTTTTAGCACTGTCTACCCAGTCAATGTCTGCGTTATTGAGAGTGAGCCTAAAGTTACACTGAGGTTCTACTATTTGTCTTTGAGACCCTATGCATAAGGCCAAAGTTTTATTTGCATTGATTTTCAGTCGATGATTCTCCGAGTATAGGAATGTTTTGTGCAAATCTGTGTTTATATTGGCCACGCAACTTTCTGTATCGATGTTATGAACTTCTATTTTTTTAAACAAACTTTCATACCCTACTCGATTTAATTAACTCAATTTGCAAGCGGATAGTGACAAAAATTAATAAAATAAAATTTGGCTATAAAGTAAAATCCATCGATATAGAAAATTGTAAACGAAAACGATCACCTCCAGCGTTGTTGAGGAGATGTACCTTTTTTTACTTGAGAAAGGTGTGGAAATTAGGTTTTTTCATGAAAAGTTTACTGTCAAAAAAGTTAGGGCAATTTGAAATAAATAATGACAGCGTACGCTGATGTTACATGAAATTTAATACGAAATTATGGTTTCCCACGTCAAAAAAACGCCGATATTCGTGCAAATAACTTATTTTTTGCAAGAGTTTTTTCAAAAAGCGAACAAAAAAATTCAATTTCAACACCCCGTATTTCCCAAACGAAGCATTTTCGGACACAAGTTCATATAGACTTTTTTTCTTAAAATTGTCTCAGGAATACGTCACTTGAATATTTTAACGTACTCATGTTACACCCTGTATAAATAAATAACAAAACAACTGTTATGTGGCTTGTGGAGGTGGTATTGAATTATAATTTATATTTTGCCTTAATTGTTGATTTATAAAGATACTTTTCCTTTTTAAACATAAAATATCTTATGTACGTATAAATTATTTCAACTTGATGTAAGCGCTGTTGCCAATATGTGAATTAGAAACAAGTCCCTATAAAAATCAAAACCCATCATTTGAAACATCAATTTGAAGTGAAGTGAATTTGAAAAACTCATGAATTAAACTCAACTTTATTTTGTTCAAACTCGCATTTGGTGTAATAACCCAAATTGAGGAACATTCCTCATTGTTGTTTCTGATGGAACGGAGGCCTTATAACAATTTTCAAGCCACTGCTTTGCTTGAACGGTATTTTTTCCATCAAGAAGCAGTGTAAAATTTAAACACGAAACTGTTTTTATCCATAGTTTTGAAAATACCAAAGGTGGTGTCACTTTTAGCACAATAACTCACAAAATTATGAGTAGAATATCATGAGATTTCAACAGCTTTCTTTTGGAGGTTAGTACTGACTGAAAAAACGCTGAATGCAATGAGACTAGTGCCATCTTTGTGTTAGGCACGATACTTTCAGCCCAGGTAGTAGTTATTATGATCAATAAGTGTGAAAATGTAATCAATAAATCGCGACCTTCGAATCGTCCTTTTTGGTTTGGTAATTTCAAAGAGATGAGGTCGATTGTTATTAAAGAAAGTAAATTTAAATCAAAAAATTTTCTAGATATCGTAAATGTACCCTCAGGAATCAACTGTCGCATTTTTGCGGGACAGCCGGTACACAGGGAACTCCATGATCATGAATAATCTCCGGGGCGCTATTAATTCGAAGCACGGCGTGCCAAAATCAATATTTCCGCGCGATTCTCGATGCTGAAGTGATCTCAGACACGCACTCGCTCTTATAAATAGGTTTCAAATAACAGAATTCACATTGTCAATAGCACATACTCGTCTATCTTCTTCAAGGGTACGGATTTTTATCAGAGTCGGCAGTGAACAAACCGCGGTTGGAGTGTAAACAATCGAAGGTGTACGTTGCATACGTGTTTTGTTTCCATAACCTACTTGGTATCGCGTTTCAATTGTTAACAAGGCATGGGTGATGTATTCACGAACGGGGTGCCTCAAGCCCATCCCATCATGTCTTTCTATTCGGATTTCCAAGAGGGAGACGCCGATCAGGACAAAAGCGATATTCTAGACAAGAGAACAGGTCAGTAGTTGACTTTTTGTCCAGGCGATATGTTAAGTTAGGTTATGTTTCGTAGTGTCTTGTTTATTGATTTTTGGTTTAGAGGTACTTGGCGTGTGTTACAAGCTGTTGTTCGATACGGTTTCGCGGCTCGGTAAATAATAAATTGAGCCTTTGCATGAGAAGCATATTATAAAGGACGATACTAGCTTTGCCGACATCATATTTATAGTTAGGATTTGAGCAGGGTTGGGTTACTGGTGATCAGTTACGAAAAATTCGAGAGTATCTACTTACAAATCATCTACTGCTCTAGAAAAGTTCAAATGAGTGGCTGAAAAGTTTTGAAAAATTCAAGCTCCTTTAGGTGAAGAACTATAGTCAAGCAGAAGAGTATCAAATCATTTTCAAGTGGCTGGTGGCTGAAAAATGTAATATTTATTTTTAATACTCAATGTTTTGATACAAGAAATCTAAAAATATTCTAATATTTGTATGTATGCGGTAACAAAAATATGGAATACTTACATTAATAAAACAGGTCTGCGATGAAAACATTTTAGTGATTTTAACAGTATTTTGTGTGCAGATTACGGAAAAAATAGTAAACAATTTCTATCACCTATAGATAAGTCACAAATTTCACCTGATTTTTTTTTAATTAAATGGGTTTTTAGGTTCGGTGGCCCTCCGAACGTCATCTGGGCTCTCTGTTGAAAGCTTCGAACTGCGCTAGGGCGGGAGTGTCTAAGTTGAGTGGCTGAGGGTGTTCATAGATATCCTTCCAGAAGGATTCCACCTGATCAGCAGTCGGCGGATTATCCATAACACGTAAAATAAGCGAGAAGGTTTCTCCTGGAACCTAAGGTTTTCCGCGATACTTCTCGCTCGCCTCACTAGTGACTTCTTAGCAGCCACTAGCATTCGTATCCTATCAAGGCAGTGCTGTTTGGTGGTCAGCAGCACCCCTTGGCTTAAAGTGTGATGGATACGTCGTAGATTGGCAGCTATTCGCCGCACTGCGGGCGTGAAAGGCCTATTGACCGCCCTGTAGTCCATCACACATTGGATACGAGACGCGTGTTGTCTCGCCGACGTGATCTTAGCCTCCATCTTGTGTACACGCCGTTCAATCTTCCGAACCACAAGGCCGGGATTTCGTCCTTCCGATTCGGAAAGAGATTGGACGACGTTATACACGGCGGTGTTAATTTGCCAGATGTCAGCCTCTTCTGTTAGAACACTATGAACCTCCGCATCCAAACGAGCCAGTTCTTGTGGCTTCAGGGGCCTAATCCTGTGGAGCGCCCTGCGTGTTCTGATTAACTCCATTGGTGGCATGATGTCACTTCTACCACTTCGTTAGCAGGCTGGGGAGGGGCTATATAGCCCTGCTGCCGAAGATAGGATACGTAATCCCTAAGATTTTGGGCTGAAAAAGCGGCATGCTCCGGATGTGTTTCACATCACAGAGTCCGTTATCGTTGCCAGGGTTGTCATCGGTAGGCAAATCATCGTTATGGGCCCCACCACCTTGCTTCTGACCCCTCCGAGCGGGTCTATTGTGGAGGCCTTTTCCTCGATTATTGGGAACCAAGTGTTGGGTCCACCAGGTGGTTAGCCCTGTGGAACCACGGCCGGCACCGGAGGGAGTATAGAGTTCTCCTTCCCGGGTGCGCCTGGGCTGCCGGTCCGGTTTTGCACCAGTTGTTCGGGTAAATGGTGTCGCAACTCACCAAAGGCCAAGGGTGTTAGTGATCATCCCTGCTTATCATTATTATTATTATTATTTTTACCGTAGTGTGCGCTGGTCAGGCCATATCCCCCGAAGAACCGATACATTCGGGTGAGCGCGCCAGCATTATCAACCAATGACCACTCCCCACACCGTGGGGTAAGTGATCATTGGGTCCGAAGATCATGTACCCTGAGCAAGCGCAGTGAGCCAAGAATGACAGCCTTCTGTGTCTGTGCGGCTAAGATGTCTGCCTTAGTGCGGCAAGCCGGTATGATTTTAAGATTCGAGAGTAGAGAGGACATCATTTCATTTTTGGACGATATTCTTCTCGGCAGGAGCTGAAAACTCCACGACAAATATCGTTTTGCTCTGGTGGTCGAGAAGGACTACGTCAGGCTTATTAGCTTATATGAGCCTGAGGGTGGGGAACGAATAGTTTCAATAAATTCGGCACTTCTCGTTCCCCACAAAGGATTCAATATCTACCGGAGCGTAGGACAATACCAGTGTCTCGTCAATACCGTAATATAGCACCCTTAGGGCCGCGTTATGTCGATGGATATAAGCCGAGACTGCATATGCTGGACATGGTGAGAGCAAGTGCATTAGGATCTCGGGCGCCTCGCAGCAGGCCCTGCACTTTGTGTCGGGAACCTCTATACCCATCACGCGACTGCGGTAGACTAAGGTGTTGAAAACACTATCCTGGAAAGCCATGATGAACCCCTCAGTTTCCGAC